TTCCATCCCAGCCCCTGCCCACCCTGCCAGGGAACAATTCCCCGTTCCCCAGATCCCATCCAGCCCTGCCCTCTGGTAGCTTGGATTATTTCACAGGAATATTTAAATGCAGTAAGTATTTCCAGCTCTGTATGGAAGTACAGAATCCCATGTGCTCCAGAGCAGGTTCACTCTGAGTCCTGCACAGAGGTGCCAGCCATTCCAGGTGGCTCCATGGCTCCTTCAAGAATCACAGGTTTAAATCCAGCTGTTCTGTGCATTTTGTATTATTTAAGTATTAATAACTATTTCCTACAAACTGTGCATTTCTGTGGAGCACGTGAACCTGCACCTTGAGATGATGCACAGCAAAACCCCTGTCCAGTCATTTACAGCCAATTAGTCCTGCCCAGGGTTAGATCCTTCAAAGACACTGAGGGAGGGAATCCCCATGGAAAGCTAAAGGACCACAACAGGAAAACCTGAACTTTTGAGACAACATGTCTCCAGTGGAATGACTTTAATAGTGTCATTAGGATTTGCTAATCCACACTATTAGTAGTAATATATTTACCTGTAACACTGAATAAACCAGCAGGCCCTTGATTTTCCAGGATTGCCATCCCAAAAAATCTTGCTCTTACAAACTCCTAGGATGGAGAGGTCAGCTCCCTCAGCTGTGGGCACACAGCCATGAGGGACAATGCAGGGAAAGGGGATGGAAACTGCTGCTGAACAGAAACAGCAGAGACTGGGGTTTCAGACACTCGTGATTATTTCACAATTCCAGACTCACATTTTACCACACAACTTGTTGAAAAGCAGAGTCCACAGAGAAAAGATTCCCATTTGGACACTAACACTAATTAATTTGATTACCCTTAAAAACAACACATGAAGAAGTAAAATATAATATCCAACACATGCAAGTTTGAGAAGAGAAAACCAAAGCATGGATGCACTGTCAGTCAAGTTTTCTGTGTTTTCACTGATTGCAATGAAGGGAATGCTGTAAAAATGCACCTTTTGCATCAAAAATAGAATAACCTTCCTTCCTGAGAATGCCTAAGGATACCTCTCTCCACTCCTTCCCACTCAAAATTATTTAACTCCTATTAAATAGAAATTTTCTGTTCTGGTCAAGAAGCTGATCCTCTGGAGGGGACAGACAACGTTCCCTGTTCACACAGGAGAGATGAGTTTCTAATTACTACCAGTAATTAGTGCTTTCCTGCAGCTAGAGCTGGAATTTCTCTGTCAGGAACGTGAGCACCTCCAGCCCTGCCACACACAGAGCTCCAGAGAGGTTCATTCCAGACTGGTGCCCTCCCAAAGCTCACAGTTTATGTTTGTTGGATGAGAGCCTGTTCTAAATCCTTCCACCTGCAATTAAAATCCTACAGAGACAGTGCCAGCCAAAAATAACCAGTGCAATCGAGTACATTCTTTTTCAACTCTACAAAGTGCACTTTTAAAAGAGGCTCACTCCTTGTGCCACAGATCCCACAGAGGTTTTAGCACCTCTCACTGAGGTTTCCTGTGCACAAGTCATTCATCAGCAGCTCTCAGCCTGGAGCCCGTTTCTGATTGTCCACCCCCCCACACACACAATTTCATGCTTGGCAAATAAAAACAAAACCAAGTTGCTGTGGAGGGGGCATCCCAAGTTCAGCAGCTGTGTCCAACACAAGAGCAACGAGCACTCAAAGCTGCCAGCACACAGCAGCAGCTGAGGCAGCCCCTGGGCTGCTTTATGGCAAAAAGAAACCAAAACCCCTCACAAGTCTCGGGTTCCAAGCAGGACAGCTCTGAGGCACCCCAAACCAACCTGCTGATGGCTCATCCTGCTCAGCACAGGGAAATGTTTGTGGCTGGGAACTCCTGATCACAGAATTCCAGCTGGCTCGGGTTGGGAGGGACCTCACAGCCCAGCCAGTGCCACCCTGCCATGGCAGGGACACCTTCCCCTGTGCCAGGCTGCTCCAGCCCCAGTGTCCAGCCTGGCCTTGGGCACTGCCAGGGATCCAGGGGCAGCCCCACCCTCTCAGGGAAAAGTTTCTTACAGAAAACTTCCACCCCCCTGATCTCCCTGGTCCTCAACCCATTGCTTGTATTTTCCTTAACTTTTTTCCTTTATTCCTCCATTCCTCTTTTCCCTGGTGTTATCCTCCTAAAAGCTAAAATTACAATCCCTGATTACAGTACAAAGACAGGCCATAAAAGGCTATCCAACATCATGATTCAGAAACATTTCACTACTAGATTCACATTCTTTCCTGAATCCAAATCTATCCTAATTGCAGGATTAGAGGCATTAAGGAAAGGCCACCAAAGAGCAGCGAGAGAGGGAACAGGCACTGCAGCTCATGGCTCTGAGACCCCAATCCTTGCTTTATCTAGGAACCAGGACACATGGAAAATTCTCAAGCAAACACAGCTACTCTGCAAAGAACCTTATGTGGAATGAAAAGCAGAGGGATACCACAGAGGGAACACAGGAGCTGAAAGAATGGAGTGTGGTTTGTGAAGCAGCAAGTGCAGGGTGCAGCACACCCAGCCTCTGGGAAGCCTGAGCCTCAGACGCTGCAGAAACTGTTCAGAAACTCGTCTGTACAAAACAATCAATAACTGGTGTATCAGTTCACTGGTATAAACTATCACAGGAGCATGGAATGTCCTCAGCTGAAGGGACCCCCAGGGATCACCCAGTGCCACCCCTGCCCTGCCCAGAGCCCCCAAAATCCCATCCTGGGCATCCCTGGCAGCGCTGGCCAAAGGCTCCTGGAGCTCTGGCAGCCTCGGGGCCGTGCCCATTCCCTGGGCAGTGCCAGCAGCCTCTGGGGAAGAACCTTTCCCTAAAATCCAACCTAAATCCCTCCTGGCCCAGCTCCAGCCACTCCCTGATTCCTAAGGAAGTTTCCTGGGTGAGAACATCACCAGGTCATATCCAGCAAGGGAAGTTACAGGTGACTACAACAAAAGGTAAAAGAAGGAAAGACGCTGTGAAATAACACTCCCAGAGCCATCAACACCCCATATACTGTGTGGCTTTCTGAATTAAGAAGGTGCATCCATTTGGAGCTTGACTCAATATATATTCAGTTTATATCCACAGCTATTGCATTAAATACCTATTGCCATATAAGCTCCAAACAAAAAGTACTTTGGAACAGGGCAGTGGGGAGAGGCAGAGGAGGACAGAGTGTTTCTTGGTTTGGCCACGTTATCCCACCTGGAATGCCGGTTGGTTTACTAATTATTTATTAAACAATACTTTCTCATGAGCCATGTAAGTGTTTCCCCTACATGCGGCAGAGAAAGGCAGAATTCAGAGAAAATACTGTTTCCCACAAGCACATTCACCCCGAATAAAGCAGCAGCCGAACCAGAACAAAAGATACGCAAAGGGAACACCATCCACAATTGCCCGCTCAGCCGAGGCAGGGGCGCACACAGGGACACGACCCCATCCACGCACCGGCTTCCTTCCCCTGACATCCCGACAACATTCCCTCGCTCCCCGCTGCCCTTTGCCGAGCCCGAAGGGACGGCGCTCCCGAGGGCTGCGGCTCCTCGGGAACGGCATTGCCGGCGCAGGGCTCTCGTCCCTCCCCCGCCCGGGGAGCGGCGGCCGGAGGCAGCGGGACCGAGGTGATTCCAGCGCCAGGATCCCCGCGGCGGCACCGCAACGGCACAGGCCGGCCGGCCCCAGCATGGCTCATCCCGGCTGCCGCGGGAGGCGAGCAGGAGGACGCGGGCCCCGGCACCGCGGCACGCCCGGGCACCGTGAGGGGCTGAGGCGGCGCTGCCCCCCCACCCCGCCGCCGGCCTGGGCTGAACCGCCGCCGCCCGCGCCCCCCGTCCCGCCGGGCCGTACCTCATGTCTGTGCGGGCCCTACTCACAGCCCCGGCCGCGGCCAGGGCACCGAGGGGCCGGAGGGGCCGGAGCGGCGCCCGCAGCCGCCTCCGCCGGACGCGCCATCGCCGCCCTCGCCCCGTCTGAGGGGAGGGGGGAGGAGCCCCTCGCGGCCGCCGTACTGACGCGCGGCCGCGGCCCCCGTCTGACGGACAGGGCGTCTCACCAATCAGAGTCCGGAAAAGCGACTGAGCCCCGCCCATTTTGGCCAATCAGGGCTCTGACAGGCCCGCTCTGACGCGAGGCCTTCGCCCGCCCCCGCGTGACGAGCGGGGCGCTGCACCAATCAGAGACCTGAGCAGCGGCAGAGCCCCGCCTGCCCAACCAATCACGGCCGTGCCAGGCTGAGGGGGTCAGCGCTCGGGGAGCGGTGAGGGGCCTGCGCTGTGCATACGGGGTTAACTCATGAGGCAACCGCAGGTGGCGTCTCCTCCCTCTCCCCGCCGATGTCCCAGCGGTCGCGCCGGGCGCCGTATCCTCCCTCCTCTCCTCATTGAATGAGTGACATCCGCACGGGCCAATCCCGCCTCGACTTTCTTGATGAATGGCGGCCACTTCGACCAATCGCGAGTGCTCACCGTGTCCCGGAGGCTGCGATTGGTTGCAAGGCGGTGGGGGCGGTGCCTGAAGGCGAAGCGGAAGTGAAGGAGTGTCATGGCAACCGCGGGCGCGTCGCGGCGCTCGGAAGTCCCGCGGCTGTGCCGGAGGCTGTGATTGGTTGCAAGGCGGGGGGGGCGGTGCCTGAAGGCGAAGCGGAAGTGAAGGAGTGTCATGGCAACCGCGGGCGCGTCGCGGCGCTCGGAAGTCCCGCGGAGCCTCTGAGGGCCGGCGCGGGCTGCTGGAGCCTCTGGGTGCGGGCCGGGTTCGCTCGGAGCCCCTGAGGGCTCCCCGGGGCTGCTGGAGCCTCTGGGTGCGGGCCGGGTTCGCTCGGAGCCCCTGAGGGCTCCCCGGGGCTGCTGGAGCCTCTGGGTGCGGGCCGGGTTCGCTCGGAGCCCCTGAGGGCTCCCCGGGGCTGCTGGAGCCTGTACGGGCCCGCCGGGTGGGCTCGGAGCCCCTGAGGGCTCCCCGGGGCTGCTGGAGCCTCTGGGGGCGGGCCGGGTTCGCTCGGAGCCCCTGAGGGCTCCCCGGGGCTGCTGGAGCCTCTGGGTGCGGGCCGGGTTCGCTCGGAGCCCCTGAGGGCTCCCCGGGGCTGCTGGAGCCTCTGGGTGCGGGCCGGGTTCGCTCGGAGCCCCTGAGGGCTCCCCGGGGCTGCTGGAGCCTCTGGGTGCGGGCCGGGTTCGCTCGGAGCCCCTGAGGGCTCCCCGGGGCTGCTGGAGCCTCTGGGTGCGGGCCGGGTTCGCTCGGAGCCCCTGAGGGCTCCCCGGGGCTGCTGGAGCCTCTGGGTGCGGGCCGGGTTCGCTCGGAGCCCCTGAGGGCTCCCCGGGGGTGGCGGGGCGGGCACGGGCCCGACGTGCGGGGTCTCGGGTGGTCCCTCAGGGGTTAGAGCTGCAGAAATGGTCCCATGATTTCCTGCCTCTCTACCCCCTCCTTTCCTTTTTCCTTGTTAACTCAATTTTATTGTTTGGTTGTTTGGTTTGTTTTTTTTTTTTTTCTCCCCCTTTCTAAAGGTTCGTGTGCGTTGAGGACGACGCGGGCTGAGTCGGGAGAGGAGAGGAGAAAGCCAAGAGGCGATTTTTGCTGAAGGCACGTGTGAGCTTCGCTGTATTCCTGCCCAGGAGTTCCCCGTGTTCCCTGTGCAGTGCCCCGCTGTGAGTTGTGTGGCTGGGTGGCGAAGAGCCCTGCACTGCCCGGGGCACAATAACCCCCGGGTCCTGCAGGGCCGGTTCTGCTGTTCATCGGTACCTGCAGGGGCTCCAGGAGAGCTGCAGAGGGACTGGGGACAAGGGATGGAGGGCCAGCACCCAGGGAATGGCTGCCAGTGCCAGAGGGCAGGGCTGGATGGGATCTGGGCAATGAGGAATTGTTCCCTGGCAGGGTGGGCAGGGGCTGGGATGGAATTCCCAGAGCAGCTGGGGCTGCCCCTGGATCCCTGGCAGTGCCCAAGGCCAGGCTGGACACTGGGGCTGGAGCAGCCTGGCACAGGGGAAGGTGTCCCTGCCATGGCAGGGGGGCACTGGGTGGGATTTGAGGCCCCTTCCAACCCAAATCTGTCTGGGATTCTGTGATCCTCAGTCCTGTGGATTTTCTTTCTTATGGGCATCTAAACCTGCTGATCTGGTTTAGAGCTTCTGTATCACAAAGACTGAAATTGCCTGCAAACAGTGGCTGTATTTCTTGTAGAGTGGTTTAATTTAATTTAATTTAATCTTGTTTGCCCCCAGGCACTGCAGATGTCACAGCTTGCTTGCTGTGTTTTTCAGGTCACTATGAAGGCCCTGTATGCTCAGCAGAATTCTCCTGGAGAGGAAATTACATTTGTGTTCCAGGAAAGAGTGAGTTCCCTTCAGAACTGCTCTGTCCATCAGGCAGTGGGACAGGAGAGTTTGGCTGAGTGCCAGGGGGGAATTGAGGCACAGAAATCTTGTGCAGGCTTGGGGAAGGACTGGTAGGATCCTTGCACACTCAGGCAGGGGGAGGAAGGGAGGGGAGGTGCATTTTGTCATCAGGCAGCACTTCCAAGACCACTGCTCTGCACTTTTGGTGTCCAGACTTTACAGACAAGCTTTGAAAGCATGAAAAATAAACCCTGGGTCCACATTTCCTGGCTGAATTTTCTAGTCCCTGAAAAATTAGAAATGGAGCTTGAGGAATCTATCAGGTTTGGGGTGAGAACACCAGTTCTTACTGGGCTTGTTCCTTTGACATCATTTGGACTTCATTTTGGACTTGAATGTTAACCTCAGTGGGTCTGTCAGGATTTGTGGCTCAGACAAATGAAAAAAACCTCAAGAGAAAAATAATGTCAGTGGCTGAAGAGGTTTAGTAAGGCCTAGTGGTCAGTTTGCAGTAATAATATCATAATATGGTAACATAATAATAATGATAAATAAGGTCTAGTGACCAGTTTGCAATAATAATAATACAATAATATAATAATATAATAATATAGTGCTAACCCTAATGCTAATGCTAATAATAATAATAATAATAATGTACTCAAAGTGGTGTTGTAAACCCCTTTTCACTGACAAAACCTGCCTGCTCTCCCCACAAAACAACCCAAGAAGTGGAGAAGTGTTTTCAGGAGCTGGGGAGGCTGCTGGGGGCACAGCCAGTGTGTAACACAGCACCTGTAAATGTGTCCTAGGAGAACCTTCCTGCCTGCAGAGCCCACGATGTGAAGGTGCAGGTCAGGGCCTGTGCCCTGAGCTGGCTGGACACAAAGGTATGTGCTGGGTGTTGTGTAGGGCTGGGGGGTCTGTGGTTCCCATGGCCCTTGGCACAAGCTGAGGCCGTGGCTTTGCTGCTGGCAGTGGGCACAGGACTTTTTAGGGGGATCAGGGGCATCCTCAGGGAATGTTTCCACAGGCACAGGGCTGTGCTGGGCTTCTTGCACAGCTCTGATTAAAAAGCATCTGGGATTTGGTTCCTAATTCATGGAGACAGATCAGTTGTCAGCTGTGAGATCTCTTGCAGTAAATCCCTTTTATCTTCATCTGCTCTCTAAGCCACGGGTTGGCTTGGCTGGTAGTAACTCCCTGCTTTTATTTTTTAATATGTTTCTAAATTTAAATGCAGAATTAGTGCCATGGTTTGTGTGCACACAGGAATGTGTGCACTGCCTTCGCCTGGATAACATTTTGGTACTGGCCCAAGCTTTTTGTGCTGATCCCACACTGAGAGATGGTAATACTTTTTATAAACACAGAGCTTTAGCAAGAATGCTGTCAGCATTGTTTCCATTTAGCTCCTGTCAGAAATCCAACTGAAGAAGGAACTTGTGCCTGTGGGGCGAGAAATTTCAGGAGTTGTGCTGGAAGGTGAGTGAGTGTCAGTGCCCAGGGAGGGAGGGAGGGAGCAGGGATTCCCTCAGGACACAGAGCTCTCTTTGGGTGGGGCCCTCAGGAGCTCTTGGCTTCCTTGGGTGCTCTCCCAGTGCTGGTGCCACTCCCCTGAGGTGGAGAGTCCAGCCTGGCTCTCAGACACCACCTGTGTGTCCTGCATGAGGTGCCAAAGTTTGGGAATTCAGCCTTTGGGCTTGGCATGTGTGCAATCAACAGAATTATGTTTTTTCACAAGAAGTGTGTATCTTTAGTTTTGTGAGCTGGTGATAACCAGGGCTTCTAAATGCACATCCTATTACTGCTGTAAATATTTATCTTCTTCCCTTCTTCCCTCCTTTTCACCTCTCCATGATGAGTTGGAAGCAAGGTGACCTTTTTCCAGCCAGATGATGAAGTGGTGGGTAAGTTAATGCCTGTTTGCCTCAACTGACACCAACAGTCATCCTTTTATAATGAATGGCTGAGGTTAGAATAATTGGTAAGGCTAAATTGACCATGTATTTTCAAAATTAAACTGCTGTCACAGGAATAAACTTATAAATGGGAATTCTGTTCTAAGAATGTTCCCTTAGGATTTGAAATATGATGTTGTATTAGCCACCAAATTGTGAGTGATGCCTTAGGAGAGAGGAGTTATTTCTTAGAGCCATTCTGTCCCACATGTTTATATTTTGTGTGCTGGATGAAAGGATTAGAGGTGGACAGACTGGAGAGTGATGGGGCAGTGTGTGTTTGTGCATTGTGGTCCTTCTTGCATTATTCCCTCATGGCACCAGAACTGCCCTAGGCAGCTCCTAGAGACTGGGTATTCCCTGGAAATACCCTGGGGACAGCTCCAGGTGGGCACAAGCACATTTTTAATGGGAACTGGGAGAGACTGGACACAGCAGCCAAATTTGCAAGGCAAAACCCTTTGGTCTAAATGGAGTGTGAGATATGTGGGGGAGAGGGAAGAAAAGAATGGTTTTCCCTGGGATAGAGGGGATATTAATTCAGGAGATGGAGCAGGTGCCACAACCTCCTGTTCAGGAGAGCTCTGTGGCCAGTGAAGGTAAAAATCTCAGTTGTAACCAGGATGGAGGGTTTTTTCTGCCTACTCTGCTTTTGCTTTCTCTGCCTTCCCTGGGCAGTTTGTTTTTCCTGCACTTCCTCTTTCTTTTTCCTGCTTTTTAACACTTCCACATTCCTGTGTGTTCATCCTCTGCTTCTTCCTGTGCCTTTGGTGCTGCCTTTGCAAAGCACAGGGTCAGGAATGGAGAGGAGAGGAGAGGAGAGGAGAGGAGAGGAGAGGAGAGGGAGAGGAGAGGGGAGGGAGAGGGAGAGGAGAGGCTGTGGGGTGGCTGCTCTGTGCCTCAGATCCCTGCTCTGTGATCCATGGCCTGGAGTGGAAGGGGAGCACTCAGAGGGTGCAATGAGCTCAGACATCACCAGTGATAAATGACACCTGCCAGTAGCAGACAGCACTCAGTGGTGTCCCCATTCTTTCTCCCTCAATCCCATAATGTACCTCTGGAACTTCCTCATGCCCAGGGACCTGGGCTGGGACCTGGCCAAGGTCTCCTACCTGTCCTAAACCTGCCAAGAGGAGACTGAACCCAAACAGGAGCAGGGAATTCCTTGGGAGAATGCTTTGGTTGGTTGTGTGAAATTCAAGGTCTGTGTTCCTTTGTTTTTCAGGAATTCTGCCCCTGGATTCTGAGGAGTCTGGTGTCTGTGAAGTTATCCTGGTTCACGAGCATTATTTGGGTTTGTAGATTGTACATTTTGCTAACAATGTAATACTTCTTACTGTAGACTTTGTTTTAGCTTTTCTAAATGGGAGCCCATTACCTTGGAGCTCTGGGCACACTCCTTCCATTCCAACATTCCAAAATTCCAGCTGCCCCACCAAGTCACAGAAGTTTGAACACTCAGTGCTCTCAAGGGCTTTTCCTTTGCTGTCACCATTTCACAGTTCATGATGGCCTAAACCACACAAGCTGACCCTGGTTTTTTCCTTTTCCTTTTATTTCCCTTCTAACTTCCCACTCTCTTGCTTAATTGTTGTTCACTTTTTCCTAACCTTTAAAAAAATTTAATGATGAGAAATTTGCTTTTTTCTTCCCTTTGACTCAGTCCAGGAATATCACCTGGCACCAGACTAACAGATGGGGTGAAACAAGGAGACTGGAATTTTCAGGGATGAGGATTAGGGAAAGCCTAGTATTGAAACATTGTTTTCAATTATTGTGAGCTTCCAGTTTTCCCTTTCTGGGTATAGATGACTTTAATGAGTAGGATACTAAATGTGGGAGTCCTGTTCTTCTTCCAACAGTTTGTTACCTTGAACAAGCTATTCTTCTGCTCAAAATTTGCTCTTCCCAAAGAAACTGTGACTGCCCCATCCCTGGAAGTGTCCAGGGCCAGGATGGACAGGGATTGGAGCAGCCTGGCACAGTGGAAGGTGTCCCTGCCATGGCAGGGGTGGCCCTGGATGGGCTTTGAGGTCCTTCCAACCCAAACCATCCTGGGATTCTAAAAATCTAAGTTTGGGTTGTGTTGTTTCTGTGCCTGCCCATGAATTCCAGCAATGAGATGGCTCCTTTAAACTTGGTTATATCAAAATTGAATCCCTAATTTAATTGTGTAAAATATGGCAAAATATCCCCTCCATGTCTTCTTAGCACGAGAGGGAAACAGGAGCCAGGGGTGCTGACCTGTTCACAGGTGGAGCCTTCCTGACTCACTGGGACAGGTTTTGCTAATTAAGCCCAGGGATTTTGCTGGTGTTTTTAGCATCTCCTTGGTGTGTCTGTGGGTGTGTTTGTGTTTGTCCCCTCAGTTCAGAAGCCACAGAAGGTGTGCTGGGCAGAGGCTGCCGGGACGCTCCGGGACGGGCTCCGCGCCTACACGGCCCTGCACTACCTGGCCCACGTGTCCCCTGGCACAAGTGTCCTCGTCCTGGATGGAGCAAGTGTGGGTAGCAGCTGGGCAGGGGTCACAGATTCCCCCTGCACACATCTCCCTCAGCACACAGCCCCTGCTTTTCTGGGAGTGCTGGCAGTGCCCTTCGTTCCATGGCCTTGCAGGAAGGGTTTTCCCGTGTGGGATCCTGGCCAGGAATATTGTCCTGCCTGGAGTGGGGGCTGCACACAGGGAGGGTTTTCTGGTGGCCTGCAGTAGCACAGTTTTGCCCTGAGTCCTCAGGGATAACTACAGGAAAATGCCTTATTTTTTAGTCTTCTCCCACCTCTGCTTTTTATATTTTCTTGGATGTAAATAATTTGATTTGCATCCCTGCAGTTCTTGGTGCTAATGAAGATGTGGGGTCCCTTCAGCCAAGGTTCTGTAATGTAAACATGGCTGGGGCCTTTTCCTTGGAGCTTTTTTCTCTTCAAGCTCCAAGTTCCAACTGCAGTGAAGGTGGCTGTGGTATTTAAAGTAGAATCTGAGCTATTTTGTTGATGACAGTTACTGACCAAAAGTTCATTCAGAGCTTCCCAGCCACTGAAGAGTTGTTTTGGCCTCACTTAGGACAGAAGCAGATGTGTGAATATTCAATTCTTGGTTCAGCTGTGGGTTTTTTTGCAGGAGTAAGTTCATTTCTGGGTACTCTTCTGGCTGGCCTTTACAATATAATTTTTATAAACAACATCAAATTGTCGGTGTAAATAGATGAATGAATAAATTAATCAATGAACCTGCTTTTTCCCTCTCAGCCATTTGGTACCATTGCAATTCAGCTGGCCCAACACAGAGGGGCCAAAGTCATCTCCACTGCCCACAGCCTGGAGGACAAGCAGTACCTGGAGAGGCTCAGACCTGCTGGGGGTGAGTTTTATCCTTCAGTGCTGAACTTTGCCCTAAAGAATGCCTCAAAATATTTTTTCCTGTCAGGTCTAGAGACTTACTTCTGTAAAAATTAAACACAAAATTGATAAATAGTCTAATTAAATAGTTTCCAGGTTTGTTCTGCGCTCCACAGGTATTTAATTTCTGGTTTAGGTGTACCTAATAGCATGTGCCAGAGCTCACACACCTGACACCCAGCACTCAGCAGCCTCACATTGCTCCTACAAGGGTTTTATCAAGTGTCAGGTGCTGCCACAGCTGGAGCTGGACAGGCTCTGCATTCTCCTGCTTTCTAAAGGAGCTTGGCCTCACACACAGCACTTGCATTCTGCCCTGACTTTTCTTTCATACTTCAAGTTTGAGGTTTTTTTCCCTCTGAAAATAACATGAGAAGATACTCTGTGTAGGAGCTACTTGGCATCTTTTCTGACCAAAATTTTGAAGGTGTTTTGTGGAGGAAAGTGGAATATTCCTTTACTCAGACAGTTTTAAAATAAAGGATGGATTGTCAGTCTGGCTGGATTGCAGCAAAAGGTTAAAACTGGTGCCTGCTACTTCCTCCTGCAAATACCAAGTGCTGCAGTGTGATTGCCAGGTTTATTTTTCAGAGTGTGGTTTTTGCTGGCATCCACTGGAGTTACAGAACTGGAAAATGCCTTTGTGGGGAGCCTTGTGCAGCCCCATCTGCCACCAGGCACCCCAGGGCTGCCACTTGACAGCAACACTTTTTTTTTTGCAATTTGACCCAAAAAAACCCCCTATTTTTTCCTGATTTCAGCAGCCTTTTTTACTGTCTCTGTGTTTACACATTTCACTGCACTAGCAGTCGTGACAGACATCAGAACTGGAAGATTTTTGGGAATGCTGTTGCTATGCAGAGCCTTGTTGCACCAGCTGTTACAGGGCCAAAGAGGAAATACTGAAGACCTAAAACTTCCTTTTGTAACATTTTATGGGTATACTTTGCTAATTATATGAAAAATTCATGACCTAGGAAAAGATTTAGCAATTTTATTCTCACAGTCCTGAGTTACTTTTTACAGCATTTTTAAGTTCTTTGAATTTAATGTCAAATAGAGCATAAGTAACCCAAGCTCCAAGTGGCTTCTTGTGTTTGTGGGTGGAGAATTTTCAGTTTTGTGCTTGTTCAGTGGATTTTTGGTTAGTTTTTTGGCAGTTTTCAGAGAGCAGCAGTTTGTGTTATCGTTGTTGAGCATACCAAGCTGCTTCCTGGAATGGCTGAGGGGGAAAAATGATAACTGCAACTTTATTTCAAATCAAGAAATATAACCTGGGTACAGGATTAAAGAGAGAAACAAAACACTTTTTTGAGTGCAAAAGCAAAAAGCTTTTAAAAGTGTTCAGACTTTCTGATTTGTTTGTTAATTAATGTGATTCCAGTGCCTGAAGTAGAAGTTCCTGGTAATGTTTCAGGAATTGTATTTAGACCAAGGGGATGGGGTTTTTATTTTGTCTTCAGTGATCTCTGGAGTAAAAGTTATAATAGAATGAAGGAGGGGATTTTAACAAATTTTGACATTTTAATGCCTGTGCTTCAGGCTGGAGACAGAATATTCCATAAGCAATGGGATGAGTTTCTGTTAGAGAAGCCAAGGAAAAGTATCTGCACATACACAGATATTTCCTCTGCTCCCAAGGGCACCTCCTGCTTTTCTTTCAGTTTGCTTTGTGAGGTTTTATTCTGTTCTACCAGCACTGAGCTCTCGGGGGATGCCTTTGCTTAGAACCCCCCAGAGCAAACTTTGGGAAAGGCTGTGGAACCCTGGTGTTTCTGTGCCTCCCAGCAGGGGAGGAGGAGAGAAACTGAAGTTTTGCCACTCAGAAAAACATTACTTTGGAAGTTGTGCAAGGCACAGCAGAAGAACTGAACTCATTTAGCAGTATTTTGTGAGAAATACATAAATGACAAAGGATTGTGGAGAGGTATATTACAGTTTGTTGCTTGGCCTTTTTCACAGTGGTGAGGATTTTTTCCAGCATTTTTTTAGGAAGGAAGTTGACCAGAATTTTGATAAGTACTGTTTGAACTATTGTACTGAGTTAAGGAACAAAGCAGGACATTTTTGCTGTACAGAAATCAGAAAATAGTAAACTGGTGGAACTCTGGCCTTTTCTTTTTGATTGCCAGGCTTTGGGTCTGTGAAACCAGAATTATTTTCAAAAAGTGAAATATTTGCAGAAATAATACCATGTCAAATTGCCCTGGTAAGGAAAACCTTTTAATTTCTTGACTGAAGGAAGAAAAAGATATTATTGGGCTTTATTTGCATAGGTGAATGTGGCTGTCATTAATAATTAATTATTATCCTATCTTTAGTAAATTTTGACCATGTGTTCTCTCCAGTGAAATAATTTAACTTCACTGAAAAAAAAAAAAAGAGGAAATGACTTGGGATTTGAATGCATCCTGTGGTTTGATTGGGGATTTGAAGGGACAAAAAGAACCAAACCCAAGGCATTTATTGATGATTTGTTCATATCCTTAATGACCAGCTCCTTGCATTTTTCCTTCCCTCTCCCCTTCCTTCCTTCCCTCCCTCCCTGCTGCTGGGATCACACTCCAGGAGTCTGGCAGCCTTTGGTGGGTGAGTGCACATCCCAGCTCCACATTTGTTTGATGTTCTTTCAGTTCTCATTTTCCTGTGGGGTCTTTGGCCTTTTTAGTTTATAAATGTTTGTTCTACCTCATAATGATGAAACAAAGCTCCTTCTCTGTGTTATTGTTATAATATTAAAAATGGCTTTTACCTGAAAGAGGGCAGGGCTGGATGGGATCTGGGCAATGAGGAATTGTTCCCTGGCAGGGTGGGCAGGGGCTGGGATGGAATTCCCAGAGCAGCTGGGGCTGCCCCTGGATCCCTGGCAGTGCCCAAGGCCAGGCTGGACACTGGGGCTGGAGCAGCCTGGCACAGGGGAAGGTGTCCCTGCCCTGGCAGGGGTGGGATGGGATAATGTTTAAGATTCCTCCCAGTCCAAACCATTCCAGGATTCTCTGATTCCTGATTCTGTGTTTCCTCTTTATAACCAACCATTAACAGGGCATCATAAATTCATGACAGGAAAATGTGTTGGTGGCTTTCAGTTCAGCAATATTTCAAGAGCAGATGTAAATCCTTCATCTAAACATTAATTAAAGACCCAGAGAGCCAGGACTTGATTAATTAAAGCCCCAGAAAGCCAGGACTTGGACAAGAATTACAAAGAATGAACTTAGAGAAGGATTTCTAACCTTAGAGAGGCACATTTTATCCTTTTGGGCCAACAAACTCATGAATTAACTTCTTCATTCATACTTTTTGGTGTTGGTTTTGCACTGTGCTGAAAAAAGATGTGCCAGAATTTTTGGGTGTAGCTTCAAACCCGTTTGTGGTACGTGCAGAGAGCAGAAACTGAGTGTGCTGCCCGGGGTCTGCTCTCAGCTTTGATCCCCTAAACTCCTTTCCCGTGGGTCTGAAGTGCTTCTTGCTGCTGTCCTGCTCTGGCAGCCCGAGTGATGGACGTGTCTCACGGGAAGATCGACGTGGCCGAGAGCTGCCTGGAGGAGACGGGCGGGCTGGGCGTGGACGTCGTGCTGGATGCCGGAGGTACCGGGAGCCCTCCCTGCCCCCCGGCAATCGCATCCCGCTGCTCCGGAGCTCCTCTGGCAGCCGCCGGCATCCCCCGGCCAGCCGGGAAAGGAAAATGGCTCTGGAGAGTGGAGCACTGCTTGTGCTGCCTTGTCTGAATACAGAAATGAACTAATTAACAGCACTGGAAACCGGCTCTCATAGGGGAAACCTCTGAGGTTACTGTTCAGAGTTATGGAAATCAAATATTGTTACGTACTATTATATATATGGCTATTGTTATATATTGATATATATTATAACATACTGCTCATATAGATTTATATATAGCAGTATCTAAATATACAATAGTATCTAAATATATAATAGTATCTGGATGTATCATTTATAAATTATATATTATTTTTATTAAATATGCTATAATATTATTACTATAATATACTATATTGCATACTATAATATACTATGTTTTATAGTTGTTATATATGGTGTTTTATACATTGTGCATTAAGTTTTATACACTATAGATACTTTATATCTTATATATAGTATATTATGTATAACATACTATATTATGTATAATATACTATATTATGTTAATATACTATGTAATATAGGCTATATTGCAGTCTATATTGTTACTATATAGTATTAGGAATGTGAATATAAACAAAATATTGCTCTGAACAGTAATTTCAGAACTATTATAAAATAGTTATTCATATTATTTTAATATTAATAGTTATACATTATTCTGAGTAAATTACATAAAATAGGGTATAAGTAAAATAACAAATTCAGAGTTTTTCAACGGGTTTTAGCTGAAACAACCAATAGAGTTCCACTGAAAGGCGTGGACACAAACACATGTTGAATTTTCCACATTTCTCCTGAGCTCAGAGGATTTTATTCCCCCTCCCAGTGAGGTTGTACAGTGCTGAAGATGAAGCAGCCTCCAAATGCCAGCTGCTGCCTCACAAGCACGACATCATCACCCTGCTTGGGGTCGGGGGACGCTGGATAACCACGGAAAGGAACCTGCAGGTAAAGATGCCTGTGGCAGGGAGGAGTTTGTCCCACAGAAAACTGAGATACACACACATAAAACTCTTGTTTCAACCTGTCAGTGTTACACTGACATTCTCTTTTAACAGTGGGCAAGGGGTGTTTTTTGTTTGGTTCAACCATCTCTATAAAATAACCATTTAACCTTTGTTTTTATAAGGGTAAATGTAACTAAATAACATTTTTCTTCAATTTGCTTCAGCTGGATCCTCCAGACAGCCATTCCTTGTTCCTTAAGGGAGCCACGGTGTCCTTCCTGAACGATGAGGTCTGGAACTTGTCCAGTGTGCAGCAGGGGAAGTATCTTGATATCCTTTGCTGGTGCTGTGGAATTCTCACTGCTCAAAGGAGTGAAAACACAAGTGGGAAATCCCACTGAGAGGTTCTGCTCTGCTCAGTGCTGCAACCCAGCTGAAAGGAGGAGATAAGGTACAAGAGACACCCAGGTTTTAAGGTATTTTCTGCATTCCTTTTAAATACATCCCAGACTGGTTTGGGTCGGGAGGGACCCCAAATCCCACCTAGTGCCACCTCTGCCATGGCAGGGACACCTTCCACTGTCCCAGTGTCCAACCTGGCCTTGAAAATGTCTCTACAAGCTTCATTAAAAGCAGTGCTGCAAAACACCCATTCTGGGGGGAAAAAAATGCAGTGTTTTGGTTCATTATTGAACAAATTAATTGAAGATTTGATTCTATAAGTTTTTATTTTATGCAAGTGACATTTTGGATTTTTTTTTTAGTTGTTGTGCTTTTGGGCATTAGATGCATCACCTGTAAACTTAATGCACTCATGTTCACTGCAAAAGTGGAAGTATTTTGGCTTCCTAACTTTTCCTTTATTTGTAATGTACAGAAATATTATGTACAGAAAATGTACTGATTTTTTTTTTGTACCTAAAATTTATGGAGGGACAATGTTGGTTGGGAACAGGAAAAGAAGTATCTCCTACATTTGGGCTGATGCAGCTGGACTGAGCTCTCTGGGCAGGACATTTTCAGCCCTGGAAGATTTGGGTGTTTTTGGCTTTAGGAACTTGTGTATCTTGTGAAATTACTGTCATCTAAGGAAATCACTAATTGATCCATTTTAAAAGAACTTAGCTTCAAGTACCAGCCTGATTACCCTTAAAATGAAGGATGAACCTCGTTGTTTGGGCTTCATGCAAAGACTGAATACAGCCCCATGGTTGGGCTGTCTTGGCTGGTGGTCCTTAACTCACAGACCCCTCACATGGCAGTGTGCTCCAAGAATTTCCAGCCTCTGCTGTGTTCCCAACTTCGTTTTGGCTTTTTATCAGGTGCCTGTATGAACAGTCACAACAGCTACCTGGTCCCAAAACCTGTTCTCTTCATTCTGCACAAAAAAAGTGCCATTGATTAGTGACTGATTGCAGCAGGGGAAGTATCTTGATATCCTTTGCTGGTGCTGTGGAATTCTCACTGCTCAAAGGAGTGAAAACACAAGTGGGAAATCCCACTGAGAGGTTCTGCTCTGCTCAGTGCTGCAACCCAGCTGAAAGGAGGAGATAAGGTACAAGAGACACCCAGGTTTTAAGGTATTTTCTGCATTCCTTTTAAATACATCCCAGACTGGTTTGGGTCGGGAGGGACCCCAAATCCCACCTAGTGCCACCTCTGCCATGGCAGGGACACCTTCCACTGTCCCAGTGTCCAACCTGGCCTTGAAAATGTCTCTACAAGCTTCATTAAAAACAGTGCTGCAAAACACCTATTCTGGGGGAAAAAAAAATGCAGTGTTTTGGTTCATTATTGAACAAATTAATTGAAGATTTGATTCTATAAGTTTTTATTTTATGCAAGTGACATTTTGGATTTTTTTTTTAGTTGTTGTGCTTTTGGGCATTAGATGCATCACCTGTAAACTTAATGCACTCATGTTCACTGCAAAAGTGGAAGTATTTTGGCTTCCTAACTTTTCCTTTATTTGCAATGTACAGAAATATTATGTACAGAAAATGTACTGATTTTTTTTTTGTACCTAAAATTTATGGAGGGACAATGTTGGTTGGGAACAGGAAAAGAAGTATCTCCTACATTTGGGCTGAAGCAGCTGGACTGAGCTCTCTGGGCAGGACATTTTCAGCCCTGGAAGATTTGGGTGTTTTTGGCTTTAGGAACTTGTGTATCTTGTGAAATTACTGTCATCTAAGGAAATCACTAATTGATCCATTTTAAAAGAACTTAGCTTCAAGTACCAGCCTGATTACCCTTAAAATGAAGGATGAACCTCGTTGTTTGGGCTTCATGCAAAGACTGAATACAGCCCCATGGTTGGGCTGTCTTGGCTGGTGGTCCTTAACTCACAGACCCCTCACATGGCAGTGTGCTCCAAGAATTTCCAGCCTCTGCTGTGTTCCCAACTTCGTTTTGGCTTTTTATCAGGTGCCTGTATGAACAGTCACAACAGCTACCTGGTCCCAAAACCTGTTCTCTTCATTCTGCACAAAAAAAAGTGCCATTGATTAGTGACTGATTGATGTTGTACTAGTGCAGGCTGCACTCGTATTTCATATTGAAATAATTCAAATATTCCATGTTTCATTTCTGCATCCTATTTCAGGAAAGGAGGTTTCTGATATAGAAACAAGTGCAGAAATCTGATCTAAAGCCTGGAATTGAGGCTCATTTTCATTTTGCCTTGATCTTGCTGAGTTTGTATCAGCACAGGGCTGTGACCAGCACATGTGATTTAAAGAGATTTCTCTCCAGCTCTGTTGTTCCTTAACAGTCCTCTTGGATACCCATCCTGGAAGATATCATGGAGAAATTATCAAATGGCATTTTCAGGTGAGAGATGTGGAGATTTTTGTGGGTTTTTTAATTCAGCACTAGAAGTAGAAAACTCTGGCTAACTAACTAACCTAACATTCCTGAGCAGAGCTTCAAGAAGTTATAGGAAGATTCCTATAATAAGGTGGGAATGGAAGATGCTTCCCTTAAAGCAGGATAACAACTGCTGTTGAGCAGAAGCCTCCCCACCACCCCCATTTTCCCCCTGCAAGAAGGATCTCTTTGCATTCACTGGTGGCTCCTGTTTGCTCTGGGGCTTTTCCTTTCTTCTGTGCACTGGAGCAAAGCCATAAAGCTGTTATTTTGTTTGAGGAGAGAGGCACAGTGAAAGTCAAGTCTGTCCTGTGATATTTCTGGTGGTCTGAGTGTGCTCACCAGCACTTTTTACTGTTTTGTTTCAGGCCTCAGCTGGATGAACCCATCCCATTGTATGAAGCCAAAGTTACTATGGAAATAGTTCAGAAGAATCAAGCAAGGAAGAGACAAGTCATCCAGTTCTGACATACAACTTCTGATTTCTCAGCTGGAGAAGAGAAAGTAATGTATTTGTGGAATAAATCAGTGTACACTTGCAGGCAGTGAACAGAATTTAAACATTCTTTGTACCTCAGCTCAAATGGTCTCTGAAGCTTCCATTACTTCAGGGTTTTTTAGATTCCCTTGAGCAGAATGTTCCCATCAGCAGCTTCTAAAGAAGCTGCCTTGACATAAATATCTTTTCTGCCCTGCCACAATTAAAAATGTCAGAAACATCTACAGGCAAACTCAGTCACTGTTGGTTTTCAACCAGAAGAAATTAAAGAGGGAAAAAATATTGTTTTATTGGTCTTTTTGTCTCCAACCCCTACCAGCAGTTACCTTTTGTTACCTTTTGCTTTTGACTGCACTGAGATCTAATGCTATACCTAAAGATCTCAATCCACATTTTAAATTGTTATTCAGTTGAAGGACAGGCAAAACTATCAAGGTTGGCAAGTGTGCCAGATGGGAAGGACGTGGTTCTGACAGCAGGAGTTTCCCCCAGCTCTTTCCCTTCCTCTCAGCACTAAGGCAGCAAACTTGATAAACACAGAATCCCCGAGCTGGTGGAATTGTGTGAGTCAGGTGTTTGAGGCACTTTGTGTAGCTTGTTACCTTTGGTATCTCCCTGTGCTGTGCATTTCCCCTCTCTTAACCTCAGCACAGCCCAGATCTGTCTCTCCAGCATTCTCCATTATTGTGGCCCATCTGAAAGTCAGAAGTGGGGAAGGAACTGCATTTTGCTTTCCTCAAAGCATGTGCCTCCCTACACGCTGTGATTCGAGAGCAAAAATACTTTTTCTCTTTCAGCCGTGTTGCTCATTTTCGCTGTGAATCACTCAAACCATGGACATGGCCACTTTAGAGCTGTGTCAGTGGGAAAATTGGAGAGAAAAGAGGTTATCCAGAAGCACACTTGATCTGTCTCCCCTCACTCACTGCACTTGTAGCAGGTTCTGCATAAACGATGCAGGGCAGGCCTAGGAAATCAGGAGGAACTCTTTATGCCTTTTGAACCACATATATTTCTAATACTTTTCTAGTATTATGCCTTTTGAACTCCATGTACAACAGATGAGTGCAATTGGAAGTAGTTGTCTCTCCCTAATAGCGTAGAACACTCGTTTCTTTCTCCCAGAGAGACTGAACCCCGTGTGTTTCATGTCCCATCACAAACCCCCGGCCCGGTATCAGCACAGGGGATTTGGCTCGGGGGCAGCCGTGTGGCGATGCAGCCGCAGCCGAGCCCAGCCCTTCGGGCTGCTGTCCGGGTGCATTTGGAAGGGCACGGACACAATTTCACCGCCGTCTGTCTTTGTGCTCCATGTTGGTGTAGCCCGTGCGGGCGGAGCGGGGCTGGCGGGAGCCGCGCTCCCCTCAGAGCCCCTGAGGGCGGCAGCAATGGCGGCGCCGCTCCCTCAGCGCCGCCCCGGGGCGGAGCGGCCGCTCTTTGGCGCCAAGACGGGAGCGCGGCTTCTCCGGGCCCCGCTCGGCCATGGCCGCCCCTGCCGAGCCCGGGCACTCACCCGGCTTCAAGAAGCCGCCGGCGCTGCTGCGACTGA